ATTTTAAACAATTAATAATAAATACAAAATGGTATTAGAACAAGTGCATTAATATTAGAAATACGATGAAATTGTATCACATTTCAATCCATGACAAAAATAAGCTCCAAATGGATTAGATCTATATGCAAAGGAATAAATTTTAAATACTAAAAAACAGTGTGGGCTAGAGTCCTGTATAACTGATTATAAAAAGAGCCGATGACTCAAAATTCAAGTACAATTTTAAAAAAAAAGGGTAACCAACGACATAAAAGTTAAATACTTTTATATGAAGTTTTGATGCATGCCTCTACATGGTTGTAACTTGAAAATACTGTTGTCCTTGTTAAGTGTCATTGAGTTGAGTCTGACTCACAGAAACCCTATGAACAACAGACCTGAACCCCATCCTATCCCACACCCTCTTTGTCATCCTAGTCTCATTAGTTGTGATCAACTCAATGCCAGCCCACAGAGTCCTGGCTGCAATGTAACCAAACAACATCCAATCTGTGTCATTCTCATAGTCAGTCACGCTATGCATGAGCCCATCTTTGCAGCCACTGTGTTAATTCACCTCACCTAGGGACTTCCTCATTTACACTGATACTCTACTTTTCCCAAGTATGCTGATCTCCAGGGACTGGACCTTCCTAGTAATAGCCTCAAAGTATGTGAGAGAAAGTTTCATCTCCATGTTTCTAAGCTGTAAAAAGGCTACTCTTCTACAGCTCTACTCCAGGATGGCCCTAAAAGACCATGAGGTAAGGTAAGGGAGGAATCCTCCCAAGAGCAGAGCTTCTGGCAACAAATCTTGCTAATACCCACTTTGTGTGAAAAAAGCAGGTAATTCAAGAAAACTCTGGTGGCCTAGTGGTAGTGGCAAGAAACTGCACTTCAATCCCAGAGGTATGTGATTCAAATCCACCACATGCTCTGCTAGAGAAGGAGGGACAATTTCCTCCCGTACCAGTCAGGTCCAATTTGACAGTACACACACACACACAAAATAATAAAATAAATTTTTTTTTTTAAAAAAAGGCATGTAATCCAAAGAAGAAATATACAAAATTCAAAGACAGTGACAAATGGCTCAGAAGACTGATGAGAAGCTTAGAAGAAAACAGTCTGGAAGAGGTATAGGGTATACTGTATGGCTTGAATGTATGGGAGCCTTCAATCAAATGTCAATGGAATCCTGTATAAAACAGGGCATCAAACCAAGAAACCCATTTCATAGCAAAGTATACATACACACAAACACGCATTTTCACTACTCCTTTACAACTTGCTCGGCTCCACAATCAACACTCTTGGCACCAGCAGTCAGAAAATCAAAAGAAGAGTTGCACTGGGAAAATCTGCTGTCAGGAACCTCTTGAGAGTGCTGAAGAGCAACGGTATCAGTCTAGATACAAAGGTACTACGCCTTATCCAAGCCATGGTCTTCTCAATTACTTGTTAAACTTCAGAGAACTGGACAATGACTACAGACAACAGAAGAAGAATAGATGCCTTCGAGTTGTGGTGCTGGAAAAGAGTCTTGAACATACCATGGGCTGCCAAGAAAACAAACTGGTCTGTCTTGGAGAGGGTGAAACCAAGTCATCTCCTTGGAGGCTAGGATTCTGAAGCTCTGCCTCACTTACTCTGCACACATGGCCAGGAGAGACTGGTCCTTGGAGAAGGACAGCATGCTCAGAAGGGTAGAGAGACAGAGCAGGAGAGGAAGACTCTGGATGAGATGGATTGATACAGTGTCTGGGATATAACAACAACAACATCATACAGTGTCCTGTGTAGACCCGAGAGAGGCCTGGATGCCTTCAGAAGGTGCACTTGAGGCAGTTTAGAAGTGATACTCTAGGGAGCTCTGGTGGCCTAGTGGCAAGAAGCTGCACTGCAATCCCAGAGGTGTGCAGTTCAAATCCACCAGATGCTCTGGAGAAGGAGGGGCAATCTCCTCCTGTACCTGTCAGATCTGATTTGATGGTACACGCACAAAATATAAAAAAAAAAAAAGAAAAAGAAATGATACTCTATGAAGGTGGACACCTTAAACCAGTGAACATTACAGAATGTGGTGTCCCTAGGAGAGTCCAGAATCCAAAAGAAGATAAGTGGTCATCACTCCTACTTTCCATGACCAATATGTAAGGTTCTATGGGCCTAGAAGTCCTGGGTCCTAGAGGTATACATTCACCAGTAAAGAGAATTGTTCAACTGCTGTCACTGTTAGGTCCCACTGAGTATGACTCATAGTGATCCTATGAACAAAAGATCTAAACCCTGTCCTATCCTATGCCATCCACACCATCTCTGACACACTTGAGCTCATCACTGCAGTCACCATGTCAATCCATCTGGTTGAGAGACTTTTTCTCCTTCACTGACCCTCTACCTTTCCAAGCATGCCTTTCCAAGCATGATGTCCCTTCTTCAAGGAAAAGCTCCTCGTAACAAGAAGAACTGATGCACTCAAATGTCCATCAACAAACAAATGGGCTGAGGAACTGTGATACATTCTCATAATGGAATACTATGCAGCACTAAGGAACAATGATTTCATAAAATACTATCAAACATAGGAGAGTCTAGAGAGCATTATGTTGAGTGAAATAACTCCATTTCCTAAGGACAAATACTGCATAAAATCATTACTGTAAAAATTAAAGACAACTGAGAAAGATGTATATAAATGTTCCAAAGGGAAATAGGTTTGAAAAATGTGAAGGGTGGAAATCACCAGGACAGCAGAGATTAGTAGGCAGCTAGGGAGGGTGAAGGAATAGGAAAGATTCAATGGAGACTTGAAAAGACAGGTAATAACAAGCATAGAAAAACAGTAATTTTATTA